CCCGAAACGTGGCTGGTGGACCAAGGCCCTGAATCTGTCCCTTTTATTTCATCTGAATGAATTTGAATTTAAATTGCTGCAGGTGGCCTGTGGCTACCCATCGGAGAGCACGGTGCCGGGGCTTTCTAGATTTCACAGAGCACATTTCTTCAACCAGGGAGAAGGAGCCCCTGCTCCCCGTGTTATAGCCGACCCAGTCTCCGGAAGTGAAGTTCTGGCTCCTCTGCTCCCCGGGTGGGTGACCCTAGACAGGCCTGTCCCTCCCTCCTGTCTGTGTCCTCATCTGGCGAATGGGAAGGTGGGAATGACAACAGTCCCTGCACGATCAGGACGACACGAGATCTGGCATGGAAGCAGCTTCAGCTCGGGGCTGGGCACACCCCTGGGGCTCGGCTGCCCCACACCACGTCCACAGGGGACAGCTGGGCCTTTCGCCCCCGCCTGGCCCCCGGGGAGCTGGGTGGGACATCCGGAAAGCTGGGTCTGTGCGCTCATCTGCCCCATCCACCGGTACTCGCTGGGCAGCCTCCGTGTGCCCGGCCCTGTGCTGGGCACCGGGGCTGTGGCTCCTCCCCTGGCGGCGCGAGGTTCCCTGCTTCCGTATCGGGGTCCCCCGGGGCCGCTTGCACCCAGCAGGGGACTCAGCCCCTGTCCTGGCCTCCTCCGCACCAGACCCTTGGGGTCCCCCGAGACGCGGGTGTGCAGCCCCTGCCCTCCGTGGGGACACCTGCTGGGCTCAGGAGAAAGTGGAGGCTTGTGGCCCACTGGAGTCCTCCCTGGGGCTCAGGGAAATGGGGGGCTGGCAGGCAAGTACTGAAAGGTGCAGAGAGAGAGAAGGAACGTCCTTTGGGAGGGAGCGGAAGAAGGTGACACCAGGGCACTTTGGAGGAGGCGGGAATGACATTTGGCCCCACTTAAGGCCTCTAGGGCACCAGCAGCCCATCACACGCCGCGGCCGGGTCAGAGCGCGGGGTCACCTGAGCCAGTGGAGGGGGGATGGGGGACACAGGCGCCAGCGTCGGCGTGCGGGAATCACCTGTTGGGGCGGGGGGGTGTTCCCTGCAGGTACCCAGGCCTCGTCCCCGGGAAGCCGTGGGGACCCGGGTGGTCGTGCACGAGGAACCGTGGGTGTGTGGGACGGAGACAGGTCTGCGGGAGACCGGGGCTCCCTGGGCGCCATGTCAGAGGAGGGCGAGGAGAGGATGGGTGTGTAGTAAGTGGGGGCTTTGCCTCCATGCTGTGCCCCCATTCTGCAGATGAGGAAACTGAGGCTCAGGAAGGTTCAGAAGCACATCTGATGTCACTGAACAGGAAAAGTGGGCCAGGCCTTCAGCACAGAGCCCCGCAGCCACAGCGACAGACCCAGAGCGACCAGAGAACAGGGAGAGGGGGACTGGGGCGTGGAGGCGGCAGGTGGAAGGAGTTGGGTCTTTTGGAGTGTGAGTCTTCTCCTGGCCCCCTCTGGAGGTGACCCCAGGCAGGCAGGCACCAGTGACATGGGTGACCAGGGTTAGGAGGGCTGGATTTTCCCCTCGCCCAGAAATTGAAGAGACAGACCCAGAGATGAGTGTGAGCAGCACGGGCCTCCGGGGAGCCCAGGGCAGCGGGGCTGCGTTTGCCTTTTTCTTTGAATTGAAAATGCCCCTTCACTTTCCAGCAGAGAAGAAACCCACTCAGGAGACTGATGTAGGGTCTTGGCCTCTGTCTCTCACACACACACTGCAGGCCATATCCCTAAACCCTCCAAGATGGCAGGTGGGTCACGAAGCCACGTCACCTCCCCACCAGCACGCCAGCCCTGGGGGTGGGGTACAAGGTATTGTGGCTATAATTATCACTTGTGCCCATTTTGCAGGTGGGAAAACTGAGGTCAGGATTAAGTGCCCTGCTGAGAGTCTATGGCTAGGAAGCCAGCTTGGTTCCTGAACCTAAGGGTCTCTTCTGTGTTACAGCTGCTGTGACCTCGTAGGTTATTCCATCTCGAATGTGGCACCGGGAGACAGCAAGGCTGGGCACATGGGGTGTCTTTAATGAGGCCCCAGCCAGCCCTGCTGGACTCCTGTGGTGGATGTGGGTGCCAAGGAGCACTGTAGTAGGAGTCTGCTGGCTCCTAGGGTCTCTCTGGCATTCAGGCACAGCCTCACTACACACCACAGGGACCGGGGTGATGTGATCTGTCCCCTACAGAGAAGCCATCAGCACGCGCCCCCCACCCCACACACTTCTCCCTCACCCATGTCTGGTGGGAAGAGGCCAGAAGACAGGATTTGACGCGAGCCTCCGGGGATGGGCACGGTTTGGCTGGGGGAGAAAAGCAAAGGAACATTCCTGGCGCAGGGAAAGGCTCATGCAAAGACGTGGAGGCAGGACCGTGCGTGGGTGCCGGGGACACGGTGGACACCACGTGGCTGCAGTAGGTGGCTATTGCCCACGTGGAGGAGGAGCGGGACGGAAGGAGCAGGGAACCAGACGGGTGCACGAATAGCAAGGAAAACAAAAATCAGGACAGCACATCGACTCACTCCTGCCAGATGCCGAGCCTCGTGCTGAACCCTTTATATACATCACCTCCCGTAAGCCTCACTCTATGGGAAAACTGGTTCAGAGCGTTTAAGTGACTGTTTGGGGTCTCAGTTTATTCGTCCGTCAAATGGGTCTGGCACACAGGAAGTGCTCAATAAATGCAAGTGGTTAGTGGTTGCAGCGGCAGGAACAGGGGTCTGTGTGACCCCAGAGCTCAAAGCGTCACTGTACATCCAGCCCCCTGGGGAGCTGGCTAATAATAATATTGGTATTAATATTAATAGCAGTTAAATCCTCACATATTACATTTACTATGAGCTGGACGCTGTTGTAAGTGCTTTCCATGCCCTAACACATTCAGTTCTCACAACGTCCTATGAGATAAGAATTAAATTTATCCCCATTTTACAGATGAAAAGCTGAGGCTCAGAGAGGTTAAGCCAGTGGCCCAAGGGCACACAGGTAAGTAGAAATCAGGATTAGAATCCAGAGCCCAAACTCTTAACCACCACAGGTACTGCTTGTCTAGTTCACCAACCACGGTGGTGTCCAGGAGCTTGGTTTGTTTATAAGCCCCAATCCCCCACTACTCAGGAAGCTTTGGGGGGCACCCATCTTGAGAATCCTGCCAGCAGGGGCTCACCTCCACTTCTCCCTGCCACCCCAGCGCCAAGCAGAGTGGGAGGGCAATGGGGAGCTACAGCGGATTACTGAGCAGGAGTGTGGCAGGTGCCGGGAAGTCGGCTGGCCACAGGGTGAGGAGGGGAGGGTGGGGCTCGCCAGAACCCCCAACGGCGGCTGGTGCACCAGGCCCTGCCCTTCCGCCTCACTCCATGGTCTCCGAGGGCCTGAAGGGACAGATGGCATCGCCCAGGCCTGGGCCGTGGCTGTCACTTGGCCAGATGAGTTACGAGCAGGCTGAAGGGGCGGCAGCCAGGGGGCCGCGGAAACAATTGCATCGAGACCCAGGACAATGGGTGCACGTGCCACAGGGGCAACAGTCGTTTGTCACACAATGGGCTGCCGGGGGACAGCAGCCGGGCCAACTGCTGCCACTGACACGGGCCAGCCGCGTTTTCAAATCATTTCCAGGCCCTGTTTTCCTACGAGGCAGCCAATCGCGGGGGCAGCCGGGCGGTCACCTGATGCCAGCTCCATGGGCTGAGGGCCCAGGCCCTGCGACAAGTGAGCCGCGGTGGCCATAGCAACGCTAATTGTGGCCCTAAAACACAAGGAACGAGAGAGTGGAAAGGTGGGGGCAGGGAGGAGGAGAGAGAAGGAACAAGAACGCCAGCTCGAGTGGCCGAGCAGGTGCAAAGGCGGGTTCTCTGGCCATCGGGGCGCAAGAACGCCAGAGGCTGGACCGGTTGGCTTTCTCTTTCTCTGTCCCTTTCTCTGTCGGGCCTGGAAACACCTATTTTTAAAACCTGGAGCTTAGAATTGAGACCGTAGGACTCTTGGCAACAAGACAGAAAGCTGGGCCCACAGGAGTGGCCGCTGGGGCGAGGGCTGAACTGGGCCCCTAGGCCAGTCTGTGCCACATCGCGACACGGCCCAGCGCTCTTGGAGTCGCCTGGCAAACGTGACTTCAGGAGCACTGGGGAGTGCCGGTCACCCAGATCAGGGCGCCTGTCTGGTACCCACCACGAGCAGCCCTTTACCCTCTGTGGAAAGCGACGTCTTTGCCCACGACTCCGGGTGGGGCGGTGGGCATGGGCCCTGACCTGGGCCTCTGGGGGCCATCCGGGTGGTGGTCAAAAGCTGGGCTGCAGGTGACACTGTTTGGGTCCCAGCCCCACCACTTCCTGTTCCCTGCAGCCTTGGGCAAATGTTTCGGTGCTCTGAGCCTCAGTTTCCCCATCTGTACAGGGGGTGGGGGGCATATCCCACATCTCCACCATCTCAACACATGGCCTGCCCCTCCGCATGGACTGTCCCCAAGCTCCATGCCATCCACATGACTATAGCACCTCGGGAAACCACCCTGGACATGGAGTCACACAGGTGATTCTGCCCTGGCAGGTGGGACTCTGACCACAGGCCCTGACTGCTCAGTGCTGTGGTGGCCCAGGTGAGCTCCTACTGTGCCTCAGTTTCCCCATCTGTGAAATAGGAATAATAATACCTGCCTCATAGGGTGACTGGGCGTATTAAATGGTCTCATGCCTGTGAAGGACATGACCGGTGCCTGGCATGTAGTAAGTGCTCAATAAACATTGGTGTGTATTATTTTCGTGGTAAGTGCTGGGTCAGATGTGTTAAATGAGCAAATGAAGGACTTGAGGATGTGCAATCTGGCTGCCAAAGGGGGATGCTGGGACCAGGTTCCCATGCCCAGCCCCAGGGACAGGCAGGTCAAAGGGCTGGGGTGGCCTGGGGAGACGAGGCACTAAAGGGGTGCTTCCAGAGATTGGGAAGCCCCCCAGGAGCTGGCCTAAGCTCCCCGTCTGGCCCGAGCTCCCTGCTCCTCTCCGCAGGCTCCTAGCGCCCGCCGGCGATGACGACCTCCCTGGGGACCTGCAGTCGCTGTCTTGGCTCACGGCGGTGGACGTGCCTCGGCTGCAGCAGATGGCAAGTGGCCGCGTGGACCTGGGCGGCCCCTGTGCGCCACATTCGCACCCAGGTAGGCTCGGGGCAAGGTGCGGGGTCGGGGAGGATGCTGTAGGAGAGAGGTGACCCCCAGCCCTGCCACAGCTCCGCTATGTGGCCATGGCCAGGTCAATCTCACTGGGCCTCTATTTCTGCATCTGTAAAATGGGACACATTCTACCTTCCTCAGAGGGCTGTGGTTTGCCGTTTACTTAACAGTGTGCCAGGCCCTGGGCGAGCTAAGGTTTCAAAGAAGAATAAAGACAGCCCTGTCGCCACCCTGGTACATCTTGAACATCTAAGACAGTTGGCAAACTACAGCCCATGGGCCAAAGCAGCCTGCTGCCCATTTTGTACAGCCTTTGTGTTAGGAGTGGATTTGACACTTTTCAAGGGCTGTACCAGAAAAAAAAACCCCCAAAACTATCAAAGATGACAGAGACCATATGGCTGCCAAAGCCTAAAATATTTGCTGTCTGGCCCTTGACAGCAGAAGTTTGCAGCCCCCCGATTTAGAAGATGTCAAGAGGAAATAGACGGAAAGTGCCGAGTACAGGGTCTGGCACACAGTAGGTGCTCCATAAATGGCAGCTAGCTGCAATCACAGCAAGTAGACTCAATGCTTAAGGACACAGAAAGTATTGAAGAAAAACAAAAAGTAAACCCCAGCAACAATAATCACTACCACACATTAAAAGTACCGATCATTGAAACGTCGGTATCTAGGATTCTTTCTTGCACTGGGCAAATTGTTCTCGGGCTAAATGTATGTAGCAGAAGGCAGCAAACTTTTTCTACAAAGGGCCAGGTAGTCAATATCTTCTCGGAGGCCAAATGACCTCTGTCAAAACGATTCAACTTTTCTATCAATAGCGCAAAACCAGCCATAGACAATGTGGCCGCAAACAGGCGTGATTCTGTGCCAATAAAACTTTATTTATAAAAACAGACCATGGGTCAGATTTGGCCTAATGGTCAGTTCCCCGATGTAGAACCCCCAGGGAACGGCTGTGTGATCTTGGGCAAGCGCTCTCCCCTCACCGGTTTCCTTGTGAAAATCTAGCAGAACCACCCACTTGGGGCACTGTGATGGTTCAATGCAGAAAGTACCTTGTGCACAATAGGCGTTTAATAAGTGCTAAAATAACGAAGCCTCTTCCCTCTCTTCTGTGTCTGCCGGGCCTTTTCTATGTGCCTGTCACTGTGCCGGGCCTTTGGAGCAATGAGTTGTATGAAATGTGGTCCCAGTTCTCAGGGAGCTGGTGGCTGGCCAGAGCCAGGAGGACAACAAAGACAAAGGCACAAAGCGGAAGCCCAGGTGGCCGCCAGGACTCAGAGGGGAGCGGAAGGACTTCCTAGAAGGCTTCCTGGAAGAGGTGGCCCTGGGACAGGGTCATTTTGTAGGTCACCTTCACTTGATTGGAGGCGGCTGCCTAAAGTCTGGCTGGTGCGGGCAGAATCTGTGATGTATCAGCAATTTCTGTCTCGGGTCCAGCACGGGATGGGGGGACGCACATCGGCTACTCCCGAGCTCATTCTCGGCAGAGGAGCAGGGCTGGGCAAAGGCGAGAGGCAGCACAAAGGCACCTGGACCTACACCTAGAAGGCACTGGGGAGCCATGGCATGTTTTTGAGGAAAAGATGTGAACAATAAATTGGTATTTTAGCTTCCTGAAGGACAGGAACCAAGCTATTACAATTCTCATTGATATTATTGACTCATATTTATTGAGATATTACGTGGCCAGCAATGTGCCAAGCACTTAATAGACACGATCTCATTTGACTTGCATGACAACTTTATAGGTAGGTAGTATCAGTAGCCCAAGTACAAATGGGGCAACTGAGGCCGAACCAAGGTTACACAGCTGGTAGAAACCCCACTTTTCACCTCTACACCCTAGACAAGTGATTTGCCCAGCACCTACTAGGCTTGTGGTCCGAGGGTGGGGATGGTTGTGTCCTCCGGAGACATCCAGGGATGGGGCTGTCCCTGTCCTCTGGTCCAGCAGCATCTCTGTGCATCCCTCCTGCAGGGGCCTTGGCTGGGGCGGCTGACCTGCACGTGGGAGCCTCCCCGGGTCCCCTTCTCCATGGCCCAGACAGCATGGCCCCCCGGGGCATGCTGGGCCTGGGCCTCATAACCAACCACGGAGCCAGGGTAAGTGCCACCATGGGGGTTGGGGAGTGAGGGTGGTGCCCTCCAAGGCCGGGGTGCCTCATCCCCACCCTGACCCTCTGTCTCTTCCTCTCCTGGCCCCAGCAGATGGGCCAGTTCCCCATGGGGACCCACCCCCCATCCGGCCTGCAGGACCCGCCACAACTGTACTCACCTGCCACCCAACCACAGTTCCCGCTTCCCCTGGGCACCCAGCAGGTACTGGGGGCTCCGAGGCGCCCTGGTCTCAGAGGCAGACAGCCTGCCTTGGGCTGGCCGGGTACCTCTCTGAGCCTCAGTTTTCTCACCCGGAACATGGGGATAATGTCCCCCACCATATCCATGTCATGGGTCATTCATTCAGTTTCCCCCAGTCTCCTGCCATGGGTGGGGACAAGGTTGTCCCCGATAGCTGTCAATCCCCACACCGTGGTTTTTGACACTGGGGTGGGGGGAGGGGTGACTGTGGGTGACTTAGGCTCCTTCTCACCTTCTCTCTCTCTGCCCCTTGCCCCGCCTCTGCCTGTGGGAAGTGCCCCTCTGTGGGCCTCTATGGCTCCCCATTTGGGGTGCGGCCTCCCTACCCTCAGCCCCACATGGCTGTGCATTCGTCACAGGAACTGCACCCCAAACACTACCCCAAGCCCATCTACTCATACAGGTGAGGTCTGGGGGGCACCGGGTCAGGGCTGCGGGGGGCTCAGGGAGGAGAGGGCCGAGGCTACCTCCAGCTAGGTGTGGAGGCCCAGAATTCCAATGGGGAGGGTTAGGGACGTGGGGAACCCCCAAGTGGCACTTGTTCTCAGGAAGGCTCATCCAGTGGTCAGTCAGCACCCCCAGGCTGAGAACCCACTCCCGACACTTGAGTCTAGCACCCGGCTCCATCACTCACAAGCTGTGTGGCCTTGGGGAAGTGGCTTGGCCTCTCTGAGCCTCAGTTTCTGTAAAACGTCATCGAAGTAACAGTATTGTGTACCTCATAGGAGTTTAGGGAGGGGAAGCAGCCCAGGTAAAGCCTAAAGGCCCACAGCCATTAATTACGGGGATGGGACAAAGGAGAGAAAAAGATAAGATTTATCAAATCAGGGCCAAGGAGAAGGACAGGGGCTGGAAAGACGCTGGGCTGTGAAAAGGTAGCCAGGGCTCACACTGGGCTGGTACTGGTGGGGTGAAGCAGGGCAGGCTTCCTGGCAGAGGGGACTGTCAGCCTGAGACCCCTTCACGCCTGGCCTCCCCCACCTTCTGCCCCCAGCTGTCTGATCGCCATGGCCTTGAAGAACAGCAAGACAGGCAGCCTGCCCGTGAGTGAGATCTACAGCTTCATGAAGGAGCACTTCCCCTACTTCAAGGTGAGGGGTCCCAAGCCAGAATGGGGGTGCTGGAGCTGCCCTGGGCTCTCCCTGGTGCTGCCAGAATCCAGAGCTGGTCCTGAGCCACACTGGGCCATCCTCTAAGGTCCCCAGTTATGTCTGTATATCTGGTAGTAAGGACATGTGCATGTACACTCACATAGAAGAAATTCAGAAAGAGAAGGGGGTTTTTGAAATGGGCTCTGATGGATGAAGAGGAGTTCAGTAGGTATTCCGAAGAGAAAGGGGAGAGAGACCAGCTAGTTATTCAGCACAGACTCAGTAAAACGTAATGATGTAAAACCCAGACCTGCCTTCACCTCTCTGAGCCTCAGTGTCCTCGTCTGTGAGGTAGGGAGAATGACCGCACCTGGCAAGGTCGGTGAGGACTCTGCACTGAAGGATGGGAAGAGCCCTGCAGCTGCTGGCATGGGGTTGGCCATCAGCGATGTCATTCTTGCGAGCATCAAGGCAACAAGAGGAGCAGGAAGTCAGAGCGACCCAAGCTGCAGGGTCCCTGGCCTGCACAGTGGCACGGGGGTGTGTGTAGGGTGTGAGATGCGTCGCAGTGTCTGGCTACCTAGCCATGAACTGTGACTATTTAAAAACGATTTGCATGTCATACACTTGACTAGTTATCCATTCATTAGCACCATTCTCGCTCGCCAGCGTCCGGAGTGGGAGACAGAACGGAAGACGCGGTGGCCCTAGGCTGCATTCTCACGCGGTAACAGTTGGTGGCAGAGCTGACTTGCGGCCCCGTCATCAGGGCACGGGCTGTCCAGGCGGCCACAGTCCCTACCATCCCTACCACTCTGTCGCATCGCTCCAACTTGAGGCCGAGTGTCGGACACTGTCCCTGTTACCCCTGCCACGCTTGCGTCCTGCCCCTCTCGGCCTGGGTTGGAGTCCCCCACAGGAAAGGAAGGGGTTTCTAGGGCGGTCTCCGCAGGGGTCCCCTGTGTGCCCATGTCTCTTCCTAGACGGCTCCTGATGGCTGGAAGAACTCGGTGAGGCACAACCTGTCCCTGAACAAGTGCTTCGAGAAGGTGGAGAACAAGATGAGTGGCTCCTCGCGAAAGGGCTGCCTGTGGGCCCTGAACCTGGCCCGCATAGACAAGATGGAGGAGGAAATGCACAAGTGGAAGAGGAAGGACCTCGCCGCCATCCACCGGAGCATGGCCAACCCCGGTGAGGCCCGGACAGCCCCCACCACGTGCGCGCACACGCATGTGCACACACACGCATGCGCACACATGCGCACACACTCGCATCTGCACACACGCATGCGCGCGCATACACACGCATGCGCACACACGCACAAGTCTGCCACCTTCCAGCCCAGCCTCAGCTCCGCCTGGTCCTACCTAACCTACGCACGTCTCAGCTCCATTGCTGGGGAGCCAGGTGCCTGCTGGTTGTCCATCCCTCCTGTAGAATCTCTCTCCCCCCCCATCCAGTGGCTGGTAAACTGAGGCACCTGATCAGAGACATGAAAAGCTATTCAATCTCACTAGTCATCCCTAGTTTCTTGCACAGAAAGGTCAAACTACCCAACCATGGGATACCATTACTTTCCTACCACATTGACAGAGGTGTTTAAAATAATAAAATCATAACGCCCAGTGCAGGCGAGGATGTGGAGAAATAGACACATTCCTATACAATGTGTAGGAATGTAAGTACTTAGGTAACAAATCAAAAACTTGTAAACTGTACCCTTGTATTGGTCTGATTATTCTAGTTCTGACAATTTATGCTGAGGATATCAAAGATTTGAGCAAAAGGTTTATGAACAAAATTATCCACCACACAGTTATTCTTAAAGAGTAAGAAATAGAAAGCAATCTAAACATCCCACAATAGGGGGTTGCTTCAATAAATAGAATGGGATACCGTGCAAGGATGAGAGATGAAAAACTATTTTAAAATATTTCTGAAATAGAAAGATATGCTCCCAATAATTATAAAGGGGCAGGTTATGAATTGATACACATGATACAAGCCAGGCATGGTGGCTCACACCTGTAATCCCAGCACTTTGGGAGGCTGAGGTGGGAGGATCACTTGAGGCCAGGAGTTTCAAATCAGCCTGGGCAACACAGCAAGACCCCATCTCTTAAAAAAAAAAAATTAGCCAGGCACAGTGGTGCATGCCTGTAATCCCAGCTACTCAGGAGGCTGAGCCAGGAGGATCCCTTGAGCCCAGGAGTTTGAGGTTACAGTGAGCTATGATCATGCCAATGCACTCCAAGTGGGATCACACAGCGAGACCCCATCTCGGAAAAAATACACACACACAGAGAAAGAGAATTGGTCTGCATGTGTGTGTCTGAGAGGAAGTACACCAAAATCTTTCCTGTGCATGGAGAAATCACTGATTATTTTTATATGCTTCACGTATTTCTGTATTTTCCAAAACTTCTACCCTGTTCAGGAATTACTTTTGTAATTAGAAGAAAGATTGCATCTGCTTTTTTTTTTTTTTTTAATTAAGGGATGTGAGGAGAGGGCCCTGTTTAATTAAGGGACATATGACCGGGGACTGTGACCTGGGAAAATAGCCCTGCCGCAGCCTTAGGAATATTTGGCCTGGCTCTGTTGACGTCATTGTGCTGGGTCTGAAGGGGCCTGGGAGTGTGGCTCAGGGAACAATTCCATCAGGTGGGGAGAAGAGCTATAGCAGGAACCCGTATCCCCCGAGTGGGGGGGGCGTCACAGGGCGCCCACCCCACTGAGAGCTCCGGGGGGCTGGTTTGAGACCCAGGGCAGATGCTGACCCATATTCAGGGCAAGACCCTGGGCAAGTCATTTCACCTTCCGGATTCTAAGGGTCCTCATTTCTAACGTGGGTGCAACCCCAAAAGACCTTGGGACCCTCCCAGTCTAGTGTGAACATTGTGTTACATTCAACGAGACATAGCCAGCAACCAAAATTAATTTAAGAGTCATTTCTGTCTTTACTTGTTTATATCTGAGAGCATTAAAGATTTTTAACCCACAGCAACACTTCTGGATGCCTCTTTAGCAGGGAGTGGCCAAGAGAGCCCTCAAGGGTTAATAAAGTTTGTCCTGGTCTCATGGGATTTGGAATCTCTGCCTTATCTCCCTCTTTGAGAGCTGTTATGAGGTTCAAGGCAATTCTAAGGTTACAGGGCTGTCCTGTAAGGCACTGTCCAAATGAGAGGGGGTAGGGCTATTATCTGATGGTGCCTCTTATTCCTCAAAGACCCTGCACAATTTGTGATTCTGTTATATCTCCACAAAAACCCTGTGCAGAGTATATGGTGCCATCTCCTAGATGAAGAGACAGAGGTTCAGAGAGTCCAAGAGGCTTGCTCAGGGATTTGAACCCAGCCCTGGCTGGAGCCTAGTGACTGCAGGGTGGGTTCTGAGTGACCTCTCGTGCTTGTCTGCAGAGGAGCTGGACAAGCTGATCTCCGACCGGCCTGAAAGCTGCCGGCGCCCTGGCAAACCGGGGGAGCCGGAGGCCACTGTGCTGACTCACGCCGCCACGGTGGCCGTGGCGCACGGCTGCCTGGCCGTCTCCCAGCTCCCACCCCAGCCACTGATGACCCTGTCCCTGCAGTCGGTCCCCCTGCACCACCAGGTGCAGCCCCAGGCACACCTTGCTCCAGACTGTCCGGCGCCGGCCCAGACGCCGCCACCGCATGCCCTGCCGGACCTGAGCCCCAGCCCCCTCCCCAACCCCGCCGTGGGAAGGGCCCCCGTGGACTTCATCAACATCAGCACCGACCTGAACACCGAGGTCGACGCCCTGGACCCCAGCATCATGGACTTCGCCCTGCAGGGTGAGGCCAGAGGAATGGGGTGACGGGGATGGGATGGGGAGGGGAGAACAGAGGCGGCGAGGACTATACTGTCTGCATTCACCCCGCGGCCTCATTGCCATAGCAACCATCTAACACAGGTTGAGCAGCCCTGATCTGGAAATCTGAAATGCTCCCGAATCCGGAACATTTGAGCACCGATAAGACACTCGAAGGTCATGCTTGCTGGAACATTTCAGATTTTTGGATTAGGAATGCTCAACCTGTAATAGCAAATTGCAGCAAACAGTGAATGAGCACTTGCTGTATACCAGGCACCGGGCCAAGCACTTCACAGCCGTCATCTCGGCAAACCCTGCCACAGTCCCCTGAGGTCGCTGCCATTCATGTCCCCTTTCTGCTGATGAGGAAATTAAGGCAAAGAGAAGTCACTGGCCCAAGGTCACCTGGTTAGTAAGTGGCAGAGTCAGGACTTACACCCAGGTCTGTCCAACCCCGAACTTTTAATCAGTAACTGCTTCAACTCGTAAGCCCAACTGCATGCCAGGTCACACTCTGACCTGCTGCCTGCCACGTGGTCATCCCCGCAAAAATGAGATGTGAATGAATGAATGAGCAAATGAATGAATGAGTGAATGAATGAATGAGGGAATTTCAGGTTTCAGCAAAGGCTCGTCATTCATCCATTCGCTAGCACGAGTGCACCTACTACGTTCCGGCCAGGTAGACAGCCTCTGCCCTCCAGGAGCTCCCTGTCTGGCAAGGCAAATGGGCAAATTAGCGCGTTAGTTAGCGAGTCAGCTACAGCTGTGAAGTGGGTACGTTCGAACCTCCCTCCTCTCTCCCTGGATCGTCCTGTGGTTAAATGTGCTGAAGAAAGGGGAAACGTCGTTTTGTCCCCCTGGTGCTGCCTACGATGGCGCCATGCCTGCTCTTGCCACAGCCCTAGGAGGTGGGTTTGCTGGTCATCTCCATTTTATCCCGAGGCTCAGAGACAGAAGTGACTTTCCCAAGGACACACAGGGGGAAGGGGAGGGCCGGGGCGGGAACGCTGACTCCTCCCCGTGCTCTTTCACAACATGTGACCTTCAACAATTCACATGGTCTTTTCCTCTTTCCTAAGACAGGGGGCTCGAACTCAGGCTTGTCTGACGTGAAGCCAGCTCACTCACATGCTTTTGTCTTTGCAAGGGAACCTGTGGGAGGAGATGAAGGATGAGGGCTTCAGCCTGGACACGCTGGGGGCCTTCGGAGACTCCCTGCTTGGCTGTGACCTGGGGCCCTCGGGCCTGACCCCCGTCTCCAGCGGCAGCGACCAGTCCTTCCCAGACTTGCAGGTGACGGGTCTCTACGCCGCGTACTCCACCCCGGACAGTGTGGCCGCCTCGGCCACCACCTCCTCCTCTCAGTACCTGGGCACGCCGGGGAACAAGCCCATAGCCCTGCTCTGAGCCGATGGCCTCACCTACCCTGGAACACCCCAGAGAACGGACCAGAGCAGGGTGTGCCCAGAAGGCAGGCCCCTCACCCTCCCACAGTCCCCTCCTGAACCTTTGGCAAAGCCGTGGCTGGACAGGGACGCAGTTCCTCTCCGCACCCCTCTCCCGCCTCCCGCCAAAGCTTCTGGGGCCTTCCCAAGTCAAAAGGACAGAGGAGAGTGGACGCGTAGCCCGGCGTCCCCTGGCTGTGCTGAGAGTGAGGTTTCTCCAGCCTGGTTCCTGGCTGGGCGCCCTCAGTGACAAGCAGCCCACTTCTGGGGACGCGCTGGTGTGCCAAGGAAACAGGCTGAGCCGGACGAAACATCTGCCACGCCAGCAGGAGCCAGGCTCGAGGCTGGGACACGAGCCGGTGAACCACTGAACAAGCTGAACTTGGATGGAACAAGCTGAACTTGGAAACAGGAGCCTGCCCAGGCGGCCTCCAGCCCCACCCCCCAATTAGCGTTGTCGAGTTTCATAGAGCAGGTTCCTGGGCCACGCCAGGCACTGTGACGGGTGTAAATGTATTTATATTTATTGGGGCCCATTCTCCCCACTTCTCCGAACCCAGCCCAAGGCCCCTGGAATGAGCCTCCTCCGTCGGTCCCTCCCCAGCCATCCTAACTTCCACATTACCAGCGAATCACAGCTCTCACTGGCTCCTCAATCCCTCGCAACCTTGAGCTTCTTTTCAGAACAAACGAGCACTTTGGATGCTGGGAAACATCCTATTTTTTAATACCAGAGGCCAGATATTTTTCTAACCGTTCAGTCACGATTCAAGTCTCTGCCCACGAGCCCCTAAGAAGGGAGGCGCCATTGCTTTGGGTCTGGGGGACTTTCTAAGAGCACCCTGGGGTGGGGATGGGAGGAATCGTGGGGAGTGTTTTTGAGGGGGGAAGAAAGCAAACTGTGACCCACGTGGCACGGGGTGGGGGCCGGTGAAGCTTCAATGCACAGTATTTATTGGCACCTGTGCCTGCCTCTCTTTGCCCTGCCGCCATTCTGATGTATCTTTCTCTCGCCTTGCCAATTACGGATTTTCCCAGTGGCGAGTTCTGCAGACAGTGGGGTTGGAGGGGAGGCCGGGAGCGAGTTGGGGAAGAGAACGTGAAAAAGGCTTTTCCGGCTAAGTGGCTGCACGGGCATGGTGTGCCCCCCTCCTCTCTCGACCACCTGGATGTTGAGTCTGAGTCTGGGGAGTCCTGAACCCTCGAGCCAGAATGTTCTGATTCATCAACAGCCTGGCCAGCCACCCGGGAGGTCTGGCGTTAAACATGAAGGGCCGGTTTTAAGTCCTTCCTAGTTCTAGAACTGTCTGCGGAATATCCACCGCCCTTAGACGCGATCCCAGCACCACCTGTCTGACCGGCGCTGCTCACCCGCTTTGTGTGAGCCCTCACGAAGACCCCCGTGTCCGGGCAGCGCCGAGACTGTGCAAGCCTAGCGTTGAGTCACTGTCTCCCGTCAATAAAGGCTCAACGGCAGCTCTTGTGGCTCGTGGGGAGGGGGAAAGGGGGGTGATGGAAAACGATGTCACTCACACACCCCTCCCGGCGGGGGGCGTTTACAGACGAGCAAACTGCGGCCCAGGGAGGTGACGCCACATAACACTGGATCCAGCTGTTCTGATTCCAAGTTCCCATCACACCAGAAACTGGGGGGACTTTATCATTATCAGTAAAATTAGCATGGCCTCCACTTACTGTTCCTTGGTGCTGGGCGCTGTATGGACGTCATCTCAGGCAGGGATTGTGAACGCTGTTTGCTGCTCAGAAAGCAGAGGCTCAGAGAGGTTGGGTAGGACAGAGCGTGTGCGCGCGACACCAGGGCTGGAGCTCAGTGGCGCTGCTCCCAACTGCCTCTTTGGCGTCTGCCTGGGGTCAGAGAAGACAACAAGATGGAAACAGGTGTACCCTTTTAAGCACCTGCTATGTGCCCAAGATGGAAACAGGTGTACCCTTTTCAGCACCTGCTATGTGCCCGGCCCTGGGCTGGTCACTGCTGTAGATTAGCTCACTCAATCCTCACAACCGCCCTATGAGGGCGTCTTACTGGTTATTATGCCCATTTTGCAGATGAAGAAACTGAGGCTCAGAGGAATGGAGCAGGTGACTTGCCTCCCCAGCTAACAGCAAAAGGGTGTATTCATCAGGAGTCTAACTCCTCAGCCCATGCAGGAAGTGGTTTGCAGACTCACTGGAGACGAGACTCACATGCATGCAGCGATTCATGAGTAAGGGAGTATACAGGATGAGGGGCTGTGGGTGGTATCAGGGAGTACTAAACGGGGCTCCTTCAGTGGAGGCCAGGCAGGCAGCAGGGACAGGGGCCCTGCAGAGGCCAGGGCTGTCTTTCTGTGCCCAGCTCCTGTTACCCAACCCTGGCCTGGCCAACAGTAGCATTGCAGCCCCCAAGCCACCCCCAGCCATTGGTCGAAGCAGGGAGCAAGTGGCCCAGGCCATGGTGGTCACAGCCGATGAGCATCTCCCCAGGACTTGGCAGGAGCTAAGGGACAGGGGCGCCCTCCATCTCCTGAGCTGCTAAGCTGGGAGGACGGAGCTGAGCCGTTGAGTCACCACGTGGAAAGGGCTGGGGAACCCACAAGTGAGTCTGACGTCCGCTCCTTATGACAGGCAAGTGGGGGGCCAGGTACACATTGAGTCAAGGCAAGAATGCCAAGGTCACGGGGTCACAGCTCTGGGCAGAGCCCTGGCCACAGCCAGAGCGCCACCTGTGCAGAGGCCACGATGACACCTAAAAAAAGCAGGAAGGGGAGATGGGAGGAACGAGCCCCTGACTGAGGTTCTCTCTGAAGCTGGGCAACTAAGGGGAGAAAATTACCAATCACCTCCACTCAAGCGCCTGGTGCATCGAGTTAAACCCTCGTCAGGCAGCAGCTCCCTGAAGCCCCGCCACACCTGTGCCCTCAGCGAGATGTTCCCATCTCCCAGATGAGGAAACTGAGGCTCTGAGATCATGTAGCTTTTCTTCCCCCTCCGTGAGAAATCATCCACGTTCTAACAACAAGAGTGACACATTCGCTAACACTGGCGGGGGCTGACTCCACGCTAAGTGTACCATGACATGATTTATCTTATTTTCCTCTGATTCCCATGGAATAAAGCTGTCACCATCCCTTACAACAGGCAGAATAATGCCCACCCCATCCCCCCACCGGTGGCCACGTCCCAATCCCTGGACCTGTGAATGGGTGAGTGGCAAGGGGGCATCAAGGAGGCAGACGGAATTACAGTTGCCAATCAGCTGAATTACCCTAGATTACCCAGGTTGGTCCGATAGAATGACAACAGTCCTTCTAAGTAAAAGAGGGAGGCGGGAGACTCAGTGTCCGATTTGAAGATGCTACATACAGTGCTGGCTTTGAAGATGGAATGGGGTTTCTAGAAGCTGGAAAAGGCAAGAAAACGGATTCTCCCCCAGAGGCTGCAGGAGGACCTCAGCCCTGCTGATGCTTGGATCTCGGCCCTGTGAGACCCATTTTGGACTTCTGACCTCCAGGACTGTAGGATAATAAATTCGTGTAGTTTTAAGCCACTAAGTTTGTGGTTACAGCTGCCATGCATCCCCATTTTACAGAGGAGGAAACTGAGGCTCCCCAAGGCTAAGGAGGTTGCACGTGATCAGTAAGGTGAGATTCGACAGCACCGTGCTTCCCCTTGATAAAAGTCAAATCTCAGAGGGCTCAGTGGACACCGTCTGCTTGCTAGTTGGAAGAGGAGGAAGACTCTCCGAGGTTACGCACCTAGGAGTTGAGCCCAGGTCTGCAGGTCTCCCAGCGCCTTCCACGGCACGGCACTGCCTGGCTTGGTGTGGGCTCCTGAAGGGCAGCTGGTGGAGGTTTAGGGAAAGGGATGAAAAGGTCTGATCAGGCCAGGTGCGGTTGCTCATGCCTGTAATCCTAGCACTTTGGGAGGCTGAGGCAGGAGGATCTCTTGAGCCCAGGAGTTTATGGTTGCTGTGAGCTATGATGACACCCCTGCACTCTAGCCCGGGCGACAGAAAAAGACGCTGTCTCAAAAACAAAACAAAACAAACAAAAAGCCCAGAAAAGATCTGATCAAAAGCAGGACACAAGTGGGTTGGGGGAGCCAGCATCGCCTCCTTTGGACGGTGCTAGTTAACTGTTCTTCCTGCGGGTGTGGACACTGGACCTCGGATCTCTGGTGTCGTGGCCCTCTGAGCCCAGGGGTAGAAGGGCAGAGACCTAGCCGGTGGCTGAACTGTGGGCAACTTCAGCAGCAGCCAAAGATACGGGGAGCCAGGCCTCACACCCATCCCCAAGGGGTGCCTTGTCCAGGAGAACCTGTCCCCTCAGCATCTGCCGTAGCCACCCTCAGGTGGCCACAGGACAGGAACAAATACTCCCAGGAGAGGGGGGACAACTCAGCTCAGCTCTAGGACCCAAATCCTCTGACCTGGCTTCCTCTGTGTGGGGTAAGCGCCCCCACCTCTGAGCAGAAGCATCTCCAACCTACTCCAGTCCCGGTGTTTCTCCCACGACTGATGGGCATCTCTGGTTAACCACGGACACGTGGTCAAACTCGCTGGCATCTACAAATCCCATCCCCGACGTTCGAAGCGTGCACATAAAAAGGTCCAAGGCCTTTCGAGTTACAATGACCTCTAGGCTCACCCCTTAGATGGCTGCTATCAAACAAAGGGAAAACAAACACAGTCGTGTTGGTAAGGCTGTGGAGAAATCAGGACACCGGTGCATTGCTGGTGGGGTTGTAACATGGTGCAGCTGCTATGGAAAACAGTACCGTGATTCTGCAAAAAAACTGAATATAAAATTACCATAAGGAGATACCTTAAAGAGATACAAGTAGAATTACCATTCGATCCAGCAATCCCATTACTGGGCATCTACCCAAAAGAACAAAAGACACTCTATGAAAAAGACACCTGCACCCGAATGTTTATAGCAGCACAATTCACAATTGCAAAGATGTGGAAACAACCCAAGTGTCCATCAATACATGAGTGGATTAATAAAATGTGGTACATGTATACCATGGAGTACTACTCGGCTTTAAGAAACAATGGTGATATAGCACCTCTTGTATTCTCCTGAATAGAGCTGGAACGCATTCTACTAAGTATCCCAAGAATGGAAAAACAAGCACCACATGTACTCACCATCAAATTGGTATTAACTGATCCACACATAAGTGCACATATGAGAATAACATCTATTGGATGTCGGGGAGGGGGGAGGAGGGGACGGGTATTTGCATACACAAAGAGTGCAATGCGCACCATCAGGGGGAATAGACACGCTTGAAGCTCGGACTTGGGGGGGAGGGGGGCAAGGGCAACATACATAACCTAAACATCTGTATCCCCATAATATGCTGAAATAAAAATGAAATTAAATTAAATTACCATATGATCCAGTAATTCTACTTCCGGGTATAGACACAAAAGAACTGAAAGCAGGGACTTGGACAGATGTGTACACCCACGATCACAGCAGCATTATTCGAACAACAAAAAGGTGGTAACGATCCAAGTGTCCCAGGGAGGGACGCATGGATACGTTGCGACATTATTCAGCCTTGAAAAGGAAGTTCTGACGCACGCCGCGACAGGGATGAGCCCTGAGGACATTATGCTAAGGGAATAAACCTGTTACAAAAAAGTCAAATACTGTATGATCCCGCTTATTTGGGGTACCTGGAGCGGTCAGATTCATGGAGACAGAAAGTAGAATGGTGGTTGCCAGGGGCTGGAGGGAGGGAGTTAGTGTTTAACACATTGACCGCCACACTAGAAAAACAAATTTTTTTTCTTGGGGCCACGGTGTTTTATTACGAAAATAGAATAAAAACTTTGAAAACAAAACAATCCTTTCTAATTCGGTGAAAAATTCGTTATTTTGTATTGTTTTCTGTGCATGAGTTATATGCAACTTGAAAAACAGCTCTTGTGGCTCCCAAGGTGAAGAGACGCATGAGTTACATATGCTTCACGAGGCCCCTGGGCGCAAAACTAGCGTTGAGTTAAATACAACTCACATGGCAGTTAAGGTGTTAATGGGCACAGAGTTTCACTTTTGCAAGATGAAAACGTTCTGGAGGTTGGTTGCACAACAATGTGAATGCACTTAACACCACTGAACTAGACGCTTAAAAATGGTTAAGATGGTAAATATTGTTAGGTATATTTTACCATGATGAAAACAAAAATAAAAAATATTTGTAGGCTCTATCTGTGTTTCCTATACACTATTTTTTTTCCTCTTTTGAGACAGGGTCTCGCTCTGTTGCCTGGGTTGCAGTGGCGTCATCATATTAATAGCTCACTGCAACTCCAACTCTTAGGCTCAAGTGATCCTCCTGCCTCAGCCTCCCAAGTAGCTGGGAACACAGGCACCTGCCACCACTGCACTCGGCTAATTAGTTTATGTTTTGTAGAGATGGGGTGTCGCTCTTGCCCAGGCTGGTCTTGAACTCCTGGGTTCAAGCGACCCCTCCCTCAATGGCCTCCAAAAGTGCCAGGATTACAGGCGTGAGCCACTGCACCCGGCCCCTACACACTATTCTGCTACACATTTCTCTTCCAAATCTGTGTGTCCCATATATTGTACAAAACGGGGGAAACGGGCTGGGGACCACAAAGGAGGGGCTCCCAAACCACCGGAGAGGTGGTCAGAGAAGGCTGCCCAGGGGAATTGCCATTTGAGTTGGGTTTTGAGGGATGAGTAGGAGTCAGCCAGGCAAAGGCCAAGGGAGAAGAGTTTCCCCAGGAGAAACGGTGTGTGCTCACTTGGAGGTGACCTGATGGTGTAGACTAGTGGGTGCGTGGTGATAACAGACTCAGCGGGTGGGAGGTGGGTGGCCAGGACTGGCTCATGCCAAGCCTTACGGGGTTGAGTGAGGACTTTGTCCCCAGGGCACTTAGAATGGGGAAGTCACATTTGGGGAAGTTCCTTTCAGCTGCTCAACAGTGTGGCTCAGGGGGAGGGTTTGTCCACACCTGTTGGGTCACGCAAGCCATAGGGAGGCAGCCTTTCTGTGGCCTGCGTGGGTGACCTTTGTTCTCTACCCCATTCCAGCCACAGTGACTCTGAAAGGTGGACCCTGGGCGCTTCTGGATTTAACAGTCACTGTCCGTGTTTGAAACCAGGCTGAAAAATGGAAGCAATCTACCTGTAGCCTTCAGGATACAAAATCAAGTCAATGGCAGTGTTCTTTTTTCAAAAAATAGTTTATTCTGCACATTTTGTAGTAGGCTCTCTGCCCACCCACTGTTCTAGGACAGCAGCTCTTGATAGACTCCTCTTTCCCTCCAAAACCAAGAGGGCCTTGCCCGACAGAAAACCCTTCGGTTCCCAAACAGCATCGACTCTCCACTGCTCCCCAACAAGCCTCAGGATGGGACCACGGACAATTCATCTTTCTCCCGCCCTCGCTGCCCCCAAACCCACTTTACTTGCCAGGGCTGTCACTGGATGATGACCGGACTTTTTTTTTTTTTAAAAAACCTGGACATCCTCAAGCATCCCAGCTTGCAGAGGCTTCCCTGGGCCACCTTGTGGGCTTCCGCGTTGGCCAGGCATAGCGTTCAGCGTCCTCAGACAGACCGCTCACCATGGCAGCAGGTTGGGGCCAAGTCCCCTCGTCCCTAACTCCAGCCCAGGTGGGAGGGACCAGAGGACCACAGGCCCTGAGGCTGTGCAGGCTTCAGAGCCAGGTGCCGGGGGTCACATGGCAGAGTCCTCCCCGAGGAAATCGGCGTGGTCATCACAGTATGGTCCTTGGTCACCAACAGCTGGGGCCCACCATGGACATCAAGCCAACAGTCAAGGAAGCAACAGCAACTCAAGGGGGTGGCAGTGACGATCACAGCGGTGACACTTGTGCGCAAGTTGGGCCAGGAGTCCAGTTGAGGGCTTCCCCTCCCCCTCTGTACTTGGGCAGGGGGTGCAAGCCCAGGGTGGGTGGCCAATCCTGCAGTGGGGTGGGGGCGGTCCTTGGTCTCCTTAGAGGGAAGAGGCAGGCAGAGGACCGTGGGCCGCATAAAAGACTCCCCCAAACGCCCAGGAACCTGCAACCAGGCATTCCATTCATTCTGCATTCCTTCTCTGGACAAGCGAGTCTCTGCTAATGAGCGTGCTCAGCACGGCCTGCCAGTGGGACATTCCTAGTGATTCATGCACCAGGGCCCTCTGGGGAACAAAATACCATTTTATTCTCTTACTAAAAAATCATTCGTGCCCTTTCCTGGGCGACTAGACAGTATCCAAAGAAGCATCATTACAAAAATAGATTTTCTCTCTAGTCTTGTCTATGTATATTTTCCTGTGGCCCATTTATTCGGCTGAAATATGTAAGATGCTTACATCAAGTGCTGGTCTCGGAGTAAAAAAATAAAAGATTCTGTCACCTGATATCAAGAATACCTGGATCCTGGGCACCAAAAAGCAAAAGGAAATGGATGTTTTTGGTTCAATTTGATTCGGTGATGCAGCAAAAATGTTGTCTTCAGAGACAGAACAGCACAAACTCGCCCGCTACGCAGAGGAGGCTATTTCTGCTTGGAAGGGGCACCCCTGGGCCTTTTACTGAGACAGGAGTCAGCTGGGGCCCAGCAGCCCTGCAGAAACGACCAGCACTTTTTTTTTTTTAATAAGCAGGCCCCCGGCGAGGGTGTGTGGCCAGAGAGTCACCGTGGTTTCTCGTGCCCGTGGTCCTGGGTACGGCTAGGTGGCCAGGGTCACAGGGTCAGGTGGACGCTGGGCTCTCCAGGTTAGACAGGAGGTGAGCAACCTGGGCCCGCTCGGCTGGGCTGATGTGCTGGCTCAGATACATCACGCAGTCCATGGCCACCTCAGGGTTTTCCTGGACCAGGCTGCGGGGCAGGGGAGAGAAGGGCTGGGGTCACTCCTGCCATTTTATTCAGTGGCCCCTAGGGTGGCAGAGTCCTGTACGGGGCCACATCCCAGAACCCAGAGCTCCCTGTTCCCTTCCTGCTGTGGTCACCATGGGGTGATGGTCCCAGGGAGCAGAAGGGACTAGCGATTAGGACTAGGACTGGGGGTCAGAATGCCTTGAGGTACCACTGTCCCTGCTGGTCGCCAGCCGTGTGATGTGACCTGAGACAAGGCACTTCCCCGGGACCTCAGCTTCATCCCCCAAATGGGGTGCCCTGTGTTCTGCTACCTGCTTCACAGGGGACCCCGTGGGGAGGGGAGGCTGACCCTGCCAGGGAGGCCGGCAGCCTGAGCCCGCGGTCAGAACGCAGTTTCTGTACCAGCCCCACTGTGCCCTGGACAGTCCGTGCCCAGCCCAGCAGGATGATGGGTGGCAAGTGGCTCACACCTCCTCAGAGCATCCGGGGCTCTGCGTCTCGCCCTGCCACTGTGCTGGGAGACTGGGCACAAGGGGGTGCGGTCTCTTTGCCGGGGGGGCCAGCCCGACCCCAGGCTTTGGACCTCAGCGCATGAGGCCAGGCCTAAGGCCCTGGGACTCCACGGCAAGGTCCCAGGGGCTGCTCTGGAGTCGGGCAGCTGGAGGCGAATGCTGGCTCTGGACCCGCCAGTAAGCCCAGGGCCAGGCAGGGGTGGTGGCCACTCACTCTTGGATGGTCTTAAGGACGAAGTCGTGCTTCAGGCACTTGATGTTCTCGCGGATGGTGGAGTGCAGGCCGTCCTCCGCCTGCCAGTGCTGCTCCAGCCACTGCACGACCACCTGGTTATTGTCCCACAGGTAGGCCTGGGGAGGGCGGACGCTGCCTCAGAGAGGGACCCTGCTGCTGGGCAGGCTGCCCTCCGTCCCAGGCACCCCCGTGCCCAGTGGCCCCTCATCCAGCCTCCGCCCAGGCCCACCTTGACGGCGCCCTCCGACTCCACGAACCAGCGGCGCAACATGGACTGGATGTGCACGTGGCTCAGCGGGCCGCTGGCCTGCAGGATCTCCTGCCGGACCTGGTCCTCCAGGAGGAGGCGGCGCAGGCGCCAGTACAGGAAGGTGCGCGCGGTCTTCCACTCCAGGATGTCCTGCGGACGGGCCCAGACCTGAGCCCCCCGCAAAGGCAGGAGGAACGGCCCTGGCTCTGACCACACCCTTGCTAGTGGCCGTCTGGGGCCAGGCCCAGCACTGAGCCCAGCCTCTGCGCCCATTTCACAGGCAAGGAAGCTGAGGCTTGGGGAGGCGACAGCACCTGCTCAGGAAGGGGCAGAGCCAGGACTTCACCAGGACACTAGATTGGCTATCAGTGAAGAAATGTCCCCCATCCAAACCCGGCACCCACCTGCACCTCTAAGGACACAAAACACAGGCTCATGCAGGGGCTTAAGCCGGCTGGGAGGGACAACATTCTGACAAGAGAAGCTGACAAGCACGGGACGCGGGCGACTGTGGGATGCCCTTGGGGGCAGGGTGTCGGGGCAGAGCTTGCGACAGTCAGGGGCTGGGCGCACACTGGCAGGACCACTGGCTTCCAAACCCAGCCCAGGTCCAAACTGACTGAGGGGTCGTAAACACGCAGAGATCAGATCAGTGGTCCCCAAACTTCGCTGCCTATTGGAATCTCTTGGGAATTAAAAGAAAAAAAGCCCTACTGCTCGGCTCCCACCCCAGGTACTTGGATTTGCTCCGTCTGGAACGCTGCCTTGGATGTAGGTTCTTATAAAGCTCCTCGGGCGATTGTAACGTGCGGCGTCTGACCCATGCCCAAGCCCCGGGCCCTCATCTCCTCCGTGTGTTGGAGATCAGGTGGCCCTGCGGCCGGCCACGGGCAACTCACAGAGATGACCCCCTTCTCCAGCATCCTGCCGGGCGTGTCGTGGAGGTCGGCGAACTGCACCGCCACCTGGTGGTAGACGGGGAGCAGCAGGTCCTCGCGCGCCTTCAGCCGGCCCTCCAGCTCCTTGCGCTCCTTCTCCGACAGCTCGGAGGCCCCTGCAGGTAAGCCGGTGGCCACGTGAGGTGGGCCGGGGTATTCTTTTTACGAGAGGGCACAGACCTTGCCCCATGAGAGGTTCAAGCTTTGACGCCGATGTTGCCCAAGTGCAATCTCAGAAATGCATTTGCTAGTGCAAGACAGCACTCAACATGCAACCCTCAATGTCCCCTTCTGTCAGACCCACTGTGCTGGTGGGATACTATCGACTACCATTTTCACACATATTGTAAAATATGATAAGGGAATACTGGACGCAATCTGTGCGAACTCGACAACATAGACGAAATACACAAATCCCTTGAAATATATAAACTACCAAAGCTCACTCAAGAGGAAACAGATAACACAAATAGCCCTGCATAGAATAAAGAAGTTGAATTTGTAGTTAGAAACCTGTCAATGATTTAAAGAGATAATGCCAACTCTACGCAAACTCAGAGAAGAGGAGGGAACACTTTCCAGCTTATTCTATGAGATCAGCATTACCCAGATACCAAACCAGACAGAGAAATCATACACACGCGTTGTAATAAATCTTGTGAATAGCACAGTTATGAAGACACTGCCATCTCATACGGACATTTAAAGAGAATTACATCTGTAGATTACAACTGAAACAAAGCTATCATTCAAGCAAAATTGGTAAAATACTTTATATCTGATTAGGAATTCCAAAGGCACATTTTGCCACCAAAATTCTGATGTTCATCATTGGCCCCAAATACTTGAATTGTTTTATTTTGTGAGTGCTGAGAAATAAATTCACTATGGCGTTATATATATTTTTTAACGTGAAAGGGGTTGATTTAGAAATGTGAATATCTAAAATATCTCACAATTATTGCAGCACTGTTTTGTGTTTATTTTATTTTTAACATACTGGAAACCTCCAGCAGGCCATGCATGGTGGCTCATGCCTGTAGTCCTAGCATTCTGGGAGGCTGAGGCAGGAGGATTGCTTGAGCTCAGGAGTTTGAGACCAGCCTAAGCAAGAGTGAGACCTCACCTCTACTAAAAAATAGAGAAATTAGCTGGATGTTGTGGTGTGTGCCAGTGGTCCCAGCTACTGGGGAGGCCGAGGCAAGAGGATCGCTTGAGCCCAGGAGTTTGAGGCTGCAGTGAGCTATGATGATGCCACTGTACTCTACCTGGGGCTGACAGAGTGAGACTCTGTCTTAAAAAACAAAACAAAACAAAACAAAACCTCCAGCAATAGAGCCAGCTGGGCCTCTCACCACCTCTGAGGGGTGATGCCTTTGGGACCCTCTTACCTAGCTGTTCCACGAGCTTCTTGTAAGCCGGATCGAGCCTTCTCATGGACTTTATCAGATCTTTTTTTCGAAACTTAATCTCCACTGTTCCCTCTGGCTCCAGAACACCCCCCCTGAAAAAAGAAGAAGTAGGGATGGGGGTGTATGAGGTGTCGCCCAGCAAGGGACAGCCTGTGGCTTGGAGGAAGTGGAAAGCAAAAGAGCCAGGGGACCTGGGTGTCAGTTCTCAGCTCTTTCACCGACACACTGCGAGCCCCTGGGCAAGTCACCTCCCCTCTCTGGGCCTCTGTATCTATATCCACAGACACAGAGACTGAGCCAACTTTTTAAAATAATACTTTCCGAAGTCTGGAGGGCCGTTTCAGGTCCAAGAGTCTAAGACTTTCTCCACGACAGCATAACCTCCCTGCTCTTCAGCCATTGTCCTTTCTGACTTTCCTGATTTCTGCTCTGGAGCTGGGGTACTGTTTCTGATCTCTTTAAAACTCACAAAGGCACAATGAGAGCCCAGCGTGGTCCTGTACCAGCTGCCTTCCTATCTCTCCCCACCCTCTTTTGCTTTTGACAGCTTGGAAGCCCTAAAGAATATGATAGGTAGCTTTGAGCTTCCTGGTGGCCAGAGTGAAAAGTTAATGATGACACCATTCAACTACTGCTCAGTATTCTGTCTTGCTGGAGGACTGACCTCATCAGTCCCCCATGAGGATCTAGGCACCCTGAAGACAGGGTAGGCTTGGTTTGTTTGCCACCATATCACGACAACTAGCATAATGCACAGCACGTAGGGCACATGGTAGGCACTCAATAAATACTCATTGAATTAATGCATGAATTAGGGAGTGTACATAGGAATGGTGTGCCTATATTTTGGGTAGAACTACTCTTGAGGCCTTTACATCTTGCACAGCATATAGTTTTCACTTGGAAGCCATCGATCATGGTGTTGCAAGCATTATGGTCATCATCCCTTCTGTAAGAGTTCCTGGGATAAATTCCTCCTAAAGAAATGCCAAGGCCGGGTGCAGTGGCTCACGCCTGTAATCCAAGTACTCTGGGAGGTTGAGGCAGGAGGATTGTGTGAAGTCAGGAGTTCAAGACCAGCCTGAGCAAGAGTGAGACTGTCTTTACTCAAAATAGAAAAATTAGCTGGGCATGGTGGTGCACACCTGTAGTCCTAGCTACTCGGGAGGCTGAGGCGGGAAAATGGCTTGAGCCCAGGAGTTTGAGGTTGCAGTGAGCTGTGATGGTGCCACTGCACTCTAGCCAGGGAGACGGAACAAAATTCTGTCTCCAAAAAAAAAAAAAAAAAGAAATGCCAAGAAGGTTTTTCTCCCATGAAGAACTGATTTCTTCTCATGTAGGTATTAGGTCAGTTATTTGTTTAGCCAGTATTTCCTGACTATCTAAAGGAGTCAGGTGCTGTGCTAAGCCCTGAGTCATAAAACTGAACAAAATAGCCTCTGCAGAAACTCATAGCTTTGGGAGAAACTCAGAGTCTAATGAGAGACAAACAGCTCATCATATTTCCCTTTTCATCCTGGCTGCCAGGAAACTCACGTGCTTTTGGTCTTTCCTTTTTATTTTTTGATTGCAAACTTCCGTGGGAAGGAGGTGAGTATAACCTTTGAAAGCAGAGACAACATTCCTCCACCACCTTGGGGCTCCAGCTCCTTACTCTCTTGGGAAAATCCAATCGCACATAGACTTAGTTCCAGATTGATAAAACTGGAGGTTCTCCTTCCTTCGGAAACTCAGAATAACCTTTATGATCTCTAGCCAATGGCCCAAAGGTGATGGGGCCTCAAGACTGGGAGGACAAGACAAGGGTAAGCCAGGTTGAGGACGACACACCCACCTGCTCTCTTTGTCCGCATACATTTCTATGTACAGGGGGTTGATGGTGGCGTCTATGACCACCCAGGAGCCTCCCCGGAGCTCTGCGTAGGGCGGGACGTAGATCAGGACGGGCTGTTTGTACTTCCTGAGGCCGTCCACGATGTAGGCTCCAAACTTCAGCACCTGATCGTACATGTCTGAAGAGCAAAGCAGCCGCCTGGTCAGGTGACTTTGGGCCCCCCACTCACCCACGTGCGAAGCCACCACCCTGACCGTCCTGGGGTCCCGGAGGGAGCGTGTTCAGCTGGGAGGCTTGCAGAGCCCTGGGCCAGGGGTCAGGAACACAGATTGCTCCCCAAGTGGCTGTGTGACATCGCACAGGTCACTCACCCAGCACGGCCCTGGGTGTCCTCGTCTGTCAGGGGAGGCACGGGGAGTAACCAGTCTCAGATCCTCGCCCGTGACTGCCCCCAACCTGCCCCGCTGTTTCCAGCACACCGAACCTCCCCGACAACAACAGGGACCCTCCCCTGCCGGGGGCGGCATGGCCCTTTCTTCCAACAGCACACACCCCCGAGCGCCCAGGCACCCCGCGTGACGCCAAGAACGCAATAACGACGTCAACATGACACACCACGTGCCAGGGGTTCGCTTCTGCGGCCCCCCCCTTGGCTTCTCGCAGCAGTCCTGTTATCACCCCCCATTCGCAAAGGAGGGAAACTGAGGCTCAGCGAGGGCACCCAGCTAGCGAGGACTCGCGGCCACCTCCCCTCCCCCTCTGTCCTCAACACCCCACCGACAGCCACTGTCTCTCGAAGGCGCTCAGCGGCACAAAAAGCTCACGCACAACTGTAAGGTCGCGCGAGGCTCAGCACAGCCTTCTGCGGCAGGCAGGGCAGACGCGCATCCCCCTCCTCACCTTGCTAAGTGGGGAGGGGGCTGCCCTGCCCACCCTGCGCCTCACAGTGTGACCTCTGCAAAGTCCCTTTGCCTCCGTCTGTAAGACGGGACGATGGGACCTGAACCGCCTCCCGCGCTCAGGGCTGTCGAGACGTGCCGACCCCCCACAGCCGCGGCACGGGGGGCTTACCTTTCATGCCCCCGGAGAACCCCCTCCAGTTGGCGAAGATGAGGAGGGGCAGCTTCTCCCTGCCGAAGTCCTCGATGGCCTGGGCCGTCTTGTAGGCGGAGTCTGGGAACCACACCTGGCCCGCCTGCTGGATGACCTGGGACACAGAGCCGCCTGCATCAGGCGCCTGCCTCCGCGCAACGGCGGCCCCAGGGCACAGGGGCGGCTGCCAGAGCCTCGCCCTGGACGGCGGGCAAGCCATCCACGCTGGCGCCGAACCAGAGCCCGGGCTGAGAAGGAGGGCCCAGGGCACGGTGGCTCAGGACCCTGCTAGACCCTCCCACTGCAGCCCAGCGGGGTCCCACGGTCCCCATGTCAGGCTCAGGTGCTGAGCTAGCCGACGTCACACTGTTCAGTAGCGAAGGCGTCCTGAGCTCTGTGACTCCTGAGCTCTTCCCAGTGTGTGCTGTGGCCTAGCGTAGCAACGGCAGCGGGGGCGAGATCGGGGGGAAGCCTGGGACCTGTACCATCCCCTGGAGAAGAAGGAAGACGGTGCCTGGCATTCACCGTGCATCCCACAGAGAAAGCGCCAGAGAAACAGGCACCAGCCCCCCAGGGCCAAGGACCGCCGAGTCCCCTGCTTCTCCACCTCTGAGCCGGCAAGGCCAGCGTGGGACCACCACGCCCAGCACCCACTGTCACCGGCAGAGCCAGCTGAACCAGCAGCCGCAGCTCCCCGGCCCCTCACCTTGACCTCGGAATCCAGGTTGGCGGGGTCCGCGGGGACCACCAGCTCCACGGAACGCGTCTCTACGGCGATCACTCCGACGGGGATCCCACCCAGCCTGAAAGGCAAGCACAGCTGAGCCAGGCCCCGGGCGGCACCCCAGGCGGATCTCGGAGGCATCTGGGTCCGCCCAGCCCCAGCCGTGGGCATTTCTGGGTGCAGGCATGAGGCAGGCAGGGGAGGATGCTATTTTTAATCAGGCGGATTGTTTTATTAAAAGGCAAAGGAAATGCCCCAAAGCGCGAAGAGCCTCCCAAGTGGGCAGGCCTATGGGTGACCTTGTTGGGGCAAGAACCACCACAGGAAGGTTGGGACAGTGCAGGGCCTGGGGCAGCAAGGTCCGCTAGAACCTTCTGTGACGAAGGCCCTGTTCTCTATCTGCGCTGTCCAGTACGGTAGCCACAAGCTGCACATGGTTGCTAAGCATGTGAGATGTGGCGAGTGCCACTGAGGAGCAGAATAGGTCATCCTGTTTCACTTTAATTCACTTTAATTTATTTCTTTATTTATTTATGAGACAGGGTCTCACACTGTCACCCAGGATGGAGTGCAGGGGCATGATCATAGCTCACTGCAGGCTTGAACTCCTGGGCTCAAGTGATCCTCCCACCTCAGCCTCCCAAGTAGCTGGGACTACAGGCTCCAGCCACCATGCCCAGTTGATTATTTTTGATTTTTTGCAGAGATGGGGTCTTGCTATGTTGTCCAGGCTAGTCTCAAACTCCTGGCCTCAAGCAATTTTCTCACCCTGGCCTCCCAAAGTGCTGGGATTACAGGCGTGATCCAATGCTCCTGGCCTTCACTTAAATTTAAACTTTAATCATCACATGTGGCCAGCAGCCACCACATGTCACAGCGCGGGTCTAGACATCAAGCCACACTTGGAAAGGGCTGAGGGATGTGACCCTGACCAAGACTCAGCTCAGAGGACGCTATGACCTCAGCAGCCTGCTACTGGCCAGCCCTGAGCCGTGTGCAACGCTGTTCTCATTTACTTGCGCAACGACCCTATGAGGCAGGTGGGGGTGGGGGGGTCTTCAATCAAGGGAGGGCTCTCACGTGGAAGGAGGAGTCAATTTAATCTCAGGTTTTTATAAAAATTGTTTTTAAAATAAACACCTATGGAGAAGCAACTCAGTGCCAATGCTATGTGTAGTATTTTAACATGTACTGCCCAGCAGATAAATATTAATTAATAATAGCAGCAACAACCACTTATGGAGCACTTATGAGATTTTAAGTGCTTGACATGTGTTATGACGTCTAATCATCACAATAATCCTATGGGGTAGACTTGATATCCCTATTTTACAGATGAGTATGTAGAGGCCCAAAGAGGGTGAGTGATGGAGGCCGGGGCTTGACCTCACATCCAGCACCAGAGCCTGGAGTTGTAGTTACAACATCATACCAGGAATCTGAGTGGTAAATTATGAGGATGCGACTTTGGGCTCAATATAAGGAAGAACTTTCTGGCAGCTGGAGCTGTCCAAGGACATGAAGGCTGCACCACTAAAGAGTGAGCTGCTCAACTCTGAAAGCATCCAAGAAGCTAAGCCTCCCACCAACAACTGTGTACGAAAGGGCTTCTGCCCGTGGCCCTCCTGAAATGGAATTCCCAGCATTTAGTGTCTGTGCCGTTTTCTGGGGAGGGCACCCAGGGCCACCTTCTGACTCCCAAGGGAGTCCGTGGCCCCCATGGCTAGGGGAGTGACCAGAGGGCAGGGTCCCAGTTCCCAGAAGGAGGTTGCCTGAGATGCTTTCTAAGGCCACAGACAGACAATCCAGATTTAATGAGGTCTAATATCCAGAAAACCGTTCCCCCAAATTGAGTTTTTTGTTAGAAAATCCTGGAGCCAGGGAGAAAATGTCCCTCGTGGCCCGCCCCTCCTGCCACCCCCAGGCCTAATGCCTGGGGGGTCCCAGTGCCTGGCGGGGCCAGGTGTGTGCAGCCTGCTCCCATCCTCAGGGTTACCTCGCTCGTCCTGTCACCACGGTCTGGGCCCAGGGTGCCATGATTTCCTTGAAGCTGCCCTGGTCGAAGAATCCACTCTGCCAGGTTCCCTTCAGAGCTGCGGGCAGAAAAGCAGGAGCCCAGGCCGCGGGGCCAGGTGAATGAGGCCCCCAGGGAGCGCCTGGCTGGGCAGACTGTTCTATAACCTAAGGACGGCCCGCCTTTAACCTCACGGCCCAAATGCCGCGTCCCCCCGCAAGACCACACAGATCCCAACCCCTTGCCAAACAAAAACAAAAAACGCTGAAATAAACAGGGCTGCAAAAAAATATGCCAAATCAGGAATTCAGTCCATAAAGAACGTCCAACTACCACCAACTTCCCCTCAATACCAAATACCCTGAGATCCTAATCGCAGGCTCTGACTTCTCTCCCCAGGAGGCAAAGAGAGCCGATGGATGTCTCCCGGAAGGTGGGATTTCAGGGAGAGGCCACCTGCTCAGAAAAATTCATCCACAACGTACTGGCGGTTGTTGGCTGCAGCTTAATAATCAGTAACTGGGGAGAAAGTCTTCAATTTCCCAGAGAGAGAGAGAAATGATATGACGATGTTCACTGTAGCCATTGCTGGGGAGGAAACGGTGACTTTGATCCCCACTGCAGTGTCAGTTTTGACAAGGAGAGGGGAGTCAGACAGGGGAGGGGTCTCAAGGTGCCGGCGTGGCAGGCTGGGTGCCCGGGAATGCGACAGCCCGGCTTCTGTGTCTGCCTGATTGCGGGGAGACGATGTCAGGGAGAAGCTGAACATTTTTTAATTGAGATAAGGAGCCCCCCGAGAGAGCCAAAGACAGCCACAGGACTCCGTTTGCTGGCTGGAGTCTGGCATGCTCCTGAGGGTCGCCTCTCCCGCATCGCACGGCTGGAGGACCAGCCGGTGTCTAAACGGAGCGGCACGTGAAATTCTACACCTCGGATATGGTGACGGGGAGCTCAGCTTTCCCGTTCTGTTCTGGTTGCTCAGAATGAAATAATATACTTCCAAGAGATAAACCTTCCCCTCTCAGAGAAAGTGAGAGAGGAATGTGTGTGTGTAAAGGGGTGTGTATGCATGTGTACATGTGTGTTCACACGCGTGTGTGCGTGTGTGTAGAAGAGGCCAAATTGCCCATTCTGCATAAACTCACAGAGAGTTCCTTTGTGAAGGTTTAGCCAAAGAGAGAGAGAAAGAGAGAGAGACACCCTGATGTTACCACGGGACACTGTGGGGAGGGAGGTCACGATCACCCCTGCACCTTGCTTCCACCTATTAGCCCCAGAAACCAGAGGCTGTTTCTACCCCTTCTTGCTCAATGGTTTGAGAAAAGCATTGAGTAAAATTTTCATTCCCCTACTTCCCGTGCATTTGATCTCGGGGTACTTCTCTGGGATATGGGAATAAATATCAATGCTTCTACTTGAGTGCTCCTTTATCCCAGGCCCAGGAAAGAAACCCAAGACACAGGACCCAGGCAAAACACTTTAGGACTTACTTGGGTGAGGCCTTCCTGCAAGCATCCACCGGGGGTCATAGGGTGCTCTGGATGGGAGGAATTCAATTTCTCTGTCAATGGGGTCAGTGGGTGTGATGACAGGGACTGGGCTGTGATTATCCTAAAAAAGAAAGCCAAGTTTCCAACTCAGTCTCTGGTGCTTGTCAATAACACCCCTGCTCTGCTATTTGTGCTTTTCTCCTTTGACTATGATTGTGCCTAGTTAAGTAGCAATATCCCCTCCCTAGTGCTCTGAAGCCATTGTTGTGATTGGAAAATGCCAGACAAGGATTAGCCATCCCATGGATTCTTTTGAAATCTAGTTTATGAGCTCCTGCATGTGCTTCAGGGTTCAGATGGATTCAGGGATGTCGGGAAGTGAAAGAAAGGCAGGAAACGGTTGCTATCGCTACATAAGGCTAGATGAGAGGAAAAACATGGTCAAAGAAAGAAAGAAAAAGATAGACCAGCTGCAGATAGCGGTGACGGTTGGCATGCCGATGGCGAAAGGGGTACTCGAGAATAAGAACTAACATCTGTGAAAATATTTGAAACTTGGGGATTTTGGTAGAAGGTCTGGAATGAGCTGAACTCTGGAAACCAACCTTTCATAGATAATTACGATGAAGAATAATGACCTCACTCATCTATACAGAATGTCACAGTTAACTGAGTCCACTATTATCTCATTCTTAACACGACTGTTCAGTAGATCTCCTACGAACCAGGCAGGACAAACATCATCACCATCTGACGACTGAAGAAGCAGTTCCCCAAACATCTGCCTAGTCGACGTGGAGTTAAGCCTCACCTGAACTAACTAATTGTCACCATCATGAGGAGCAGTTGGGGAGGGCCTACCAAGTTCTGAGCTCTAAATACTGTACTTCATCACCATGATAACACCATGGGATAGGTGCTGTGATCATGCCCATTTCACAGATGAGGAAACTGAGGCTCAGAAAGATCAGGAGGCTGAGCCAGGGTCAGACAGCTACTGAGGGGGAAGCCAGGAACAAATCCAGCTTGAATGTAAATCTTGAGGGTTCTCTATTGTCCAAGGTTGCCTCTTTTGTCAAGGGGCAATGCTACCCCTTTTCAAAGGACCCATAGATAGCCTCCTTACAAGAGCATTAGTGCAAGCAAAATGGCAAAGAACAGCTAGTACAGGACTAGGCATCAGAGAGGGAGGAAGGAAAGAAAAATCCACCCCAGCCACATTTGCAGTTCTTCCTGCTCCCCACTCTCCCACACCACACAGGAGGTGACAGGGACACTTGATAACAGAGTCTCCCAGGCTCCAGGCTGCGGGGAGGATACTGTACCTTTGGCATATAGGACAGCCACTCCAGGATAGTATAAACCCCTTCAAAGTCATCCGGCACAGTGATGTGGGACACGCCATTATAATGCATGATCTGCACGCCACCCAGCTGGTTGTTGGACGTGTAGACCTCTCTTCCCAGGACCTGCTTGGACACAACACGGTTAGCCAAGTCCTGCACGACCCAGGGCTCTCCTACCTGTTCAGAAATCATCTCGCTCAGTGGCTCTCAAACCTGGCTGCACTTTAGAATCATCTGAGAGTTTTCAAAAATCCTGATGCCCACACTGCACCCAGGCCAATGACTTCAGAATCTTTGGGGCTAGGACCCAGGCATTAATGTTTTGTTTTTTTAAGTTTCCAGATAATTCCAATACATAGCCCAATTTGCAAACCAGTGATGCAGCTGACTACTTTGGCCATCTCAAAAGCAAAACTCAGCCGGGCACGGTGGCTCACACCTGTAACCCTAGCACTCTGGGAGGCCAATGTGGGAGGATCACTTGAGGCTAGGAGTTCGAGACCAGCCTGGGCAATGTGAGACCCTGTCTCTATAAAAAAAATTTTAAAATTAGCTGGGCATGGTGGTGCAAGCCTGTAGTCCCAGCTACTGAAGAGGCTGAGGCAGGAGGATCGCTTGAGCTCAGGAGTTTGAGGTTGCAGCAAGCTATGATGACGCCACTGCACTTCAGCCTGGGTGACAAAGTGAGTCCCTGGCTCAAAAAAAACATTTCTTTTTTAAATGTCAGTAACACAGGGAGTTAGTGCCATGAGAATAGGCTAAAACTTTTTTTTGGCTCATAAGGGGCCCAGAAAATTACAAATTGGAACAATAGCTCTCATATCTATAGGAACGAAACTTGTTTCATACTGAGAAAAACGCTCCCATCGGAGGGCAATGGGAATGTTAAAATGATCCCAGCCCCCACAAATCCCGGGAGGCCCCTTCTCTGTCACCTTGTTGAGCGCGCCCGCTCCCGTGAGGATGATGTGGGAATTCTCCACCTGGATGACCCGCTGGCCCAGCCTCACCAAGTAGGCACCGATCCCAATCGCTCGGCAGGTCACCTGCAGGGAGACGAGCCCGTCTGAATGCCTGAGAGTGGCGTGGCGCCCCATTCCCCACGGCAGGGGCGAGCCTGGGGGCCCGCCGGGCACGAACGGCCAACGGCAACCTGACAGGAAGGCAAACAGCAGAGGCAAAAGCCTATTCTTCAGGCCCCTCATTTGAGCTTGGCTTCCCATCTGGCGAGAACACGGTTCAGAAAGAGGATCGTTGTCAAGATGAACGGTAGACTCTACTGAATGTTCACGATGTTAAGAGGCTTGTGTGTCGCTCTCCTGAGCTTGGCCATTCGTGAGCCATCACAGCCTCTTGCAAAACCACGAGGACGTCTATGAGTGCGTGTACAAACTAGTGAAATCCGAATAAAGTCTGTACTGAGTTAACAGTATTGCACCAACATCAATTTCCCGGTTTTGCTAATGTACGATGGTTACAGAAGATGCTGCCACAGGGGAAGGTGGGTGAAGGGTACATGGGGAGTCTGTGCACTGTCTTATAACTTCTGGTGAGTCCTAACTATTTCAAAATAAAAAGATACACACACACACACATACACACATATATATACATATAAATAATATCTAGAGAACAAGAATAAGGAAGACACTTACGGCCAGCATCATCTACCTTAGAGGCTGAAGATCTAACTTTTCATGTAAAAGTAAGGCCTTGAATGACAGTTTATCGTTAAAGAGTACTATTACCATTAGGTCATTAAATATGAAATGTTTGATTTCGAATCAAAAGTACAGCTTATTATACCTCAAACAAGAAGCGGTACAAATAAAGTATGTGGCTAAACTATCAACACAGTTTAACAGTAGCTTGCT